AGCTTCCGGATTTGTTATTTCCGAATTTTATAATGTGATTGGCATTAAAAACACGCTCACCTTCAACGAAATTTCCTTTCCGAGGCTTTGTGTCAGCCCAATCACATATTGTGTCAATACTTATCATTTTATCGTAATTTAAAAACTTGGAAATTGCACGGTACACTATAGGAACTACTATAAATTTTCCCTAATCAGCGCCATGTTTTTAGGCTCCTCCCATTTGACGAATCCCAATAGGAATTACATCTTTTTTATTTAAGTCATGCCTGCAATCAAAGACATCCATGACATACGAAAACAGTATATATGAAGTCTTCGCTGCATAAACTCTAACAATTTCGAAAACAAATTTTATACTTTCGTCCTTAAGGTAATGGTAATAAACCATGGAATTTTTCTGCAATAAATTATAACAAAAATAATTGTTTGTGGGCCAATTTTTCATTTGGCCAACATATGCAAAGGGCTAGTACCGTCACTGGTACGACCATTTCAAGCAATTGTAGCACTAGAAGTATAACGTTATATCGATATAACGGTACCCATTGTTCAAATTTGGAGGGGTTCCACTACTGTTGTGATTGTCATATATCCAGTATTTGAGAACCTATCTAGCTTTTCAAATAAAATGCCTTCATTTAAGCATTTGAATAAAGCCTATTTAAAATTTGTTGATGTAAAATTTTCAGAATTAAGACAGGTCAATTCTGAAAACACGAGGGTCTGTCCAGGCTTTTGCATACATATGTTGGCGTACATTTAAATCTTCGTAGTGATTGTAAGTTTGCTGGGCACTGGATGAAACACATTCATTTTAATTAAAACAAACCGAAATGTAATTATTGTAAACGGTATGTAATAGATGAACAATAAGAATCAGAACAGTATTGTTCTTAACGATTATTAAAATGGATGACAGGGGTTCTGGATACAAGAATCAAAAAAATTGACAGAATATTTTCTAATACCCATGTGGGTTATGTTTATTTACCTGTTGAAATATTTAAAAACGTATATTTCGTCGAGTACCTAGAGAACCTTCAAGTACTGCGAAGATTTAAATGTAGGTCACAGCTTATATGCGAAAGCCGGGGCAGATTCTTGTGTTTCGAGAATTGACCTGTCTCGTTTCTGAGAATTTTACATCAACAAATTTTGAACAGGCTCTACCAATATTCTATGCTTTAAAATCGTCAGTATTTCAATACAAATATTTAATACCAGGAAAGTATTTAAATATGTATTTCATATATTTTAATTTTTAATACTTAGCTTGCTTACCTAATATATATTAATTACCAGCCACGTTATTAAAATAGCTTTCGTATTCATTATCGATATTCGTCTTATAGTTATGTCGTAAAAAAAAGATAGTTTTGGTTTTTGGTATTTTTGGGTATTTTGGGCTGGTGAATATGAGGTTTGTTAACAAAAATTTTGATGAAGAATATGCTTTTTCGCAAAAAAAAGTAAAAAAGAGGAATTTCTCTAATTTTTCTTGAATAACTCAGAAATCGTGCGTTTTACGTGAAAATTAACGTCAAAAACTTGAAAAAAGTGGGAATCACATCGACTCCAACACAATATGTAAATGGGAAAACTATCTTTTGCATGCATACATGATCTCCTCGCGTGGGTCACTACTTAAGGAGCACATCCTGAACGCAATGAACGGTTCCGGTAATACATCGGCCAATTTCAAACGAGACAAAACGATATTCTTTAAAACTCTTACCAAAAACCCCGGTTTCGCCATCGTTTTAAGTCATTAAAGACTCAAAGAATCAGTAGCTGGAGATGGTCAACGTTTCCTTGTATCCCTGTACGCATACATTGGGAAAAATGTGCTTATGCTCGACCACCTCAGGTACATATCCTATAGTAAGGCAGCCTTCAGATTCAGTTCTAACATAACTGATTTACCACCGTCAGCAGCAACAGCTCGTTAGCATTCTATAAGTCTGAGTCCAGAACGGTTCGAGGTAAGAAAAGACTCTTAAGAGTGGGGACAGAAGCACACGAAATCAGGTCTTGAGCCTTTTGCCACACATAGCCCCTGATCCTCCTGTGTTATTAAAGTTGCTGTCCTAAAGTGCACAAGGAACTATCGTCACAATTATGGGTGCAGGCAGGCATAGTTCTACTGCTCCAGTTTGTGCTTTAACTGTCAGGGAATCTGCAGCAACATCACAGTGATGGACAAAGACGAGGACGAAAAAAACCTTGAGCTGCTGACCGAATGTAGTAACCAGTAACTTTATTAATTACTACTACAAAAACCTAATTCTATTCGATGTTGGAATTAATTCCCCTCTGGTAATTTTTTGCGGCTAATTTTGCTTTGAAGATGTATATGAGCTTCAAGCAGGATCTTCAGAACATCCGAATGGGGGACCAGTTTACGTCCGAAGTGCTTTACCCCAGAGGACGTCATCTTTTTGTTTCGGTGAGTTTTACTTGGGATATCATAATGTGGTGGTTTCCCGTTGTCTTCTACGTCGCAGTATTGTGCATCAGAGTGCCATACCGATACTCGTGATCTCTGCCACCCTGAGTACTGAAAGAGCTGCTGCCTCTTTCAGGGACTTGTCTTAGTCTGGTTTCTCTTTAAGAACCCCCACCCCCAATTAAGGTTGAACCTATGGTCCGGCTCCCTAAATCATCGAAACTCGCAAGCCGTTCCACCCACTCTAGTTTGTACAAGAATTTCGTTAAGGTTCAAGGCCCCGTCAGATCAGGTTAGCACCAGTGTCGACTGGGAATTTCTTGCGTGTGATTCTGTCTGATACAAATAGGCGTCGTTACCATACTGTAATGTCCGTGGGTTTAACAAATTAACTTTTAAGAAGAAAACTATTTATTTATACTAATTATTATTAAAGGACTTAAAAACACTATTAAATTATTACTAAACTTCGGTAATTATTCTATTTATTTACACTACTGTTACTATTCACTGTTCTATTTATTTCACTTCTATCACTGTCAATTTATCTCTTGATTCACTTCTGCAACGGTCAATTTATTTCTACTCTACTTCGGCGATCGTCTCTTCCTTTTTATACTCCCTTGCCTCCTTTCGGGAACGTTCTCCAGCCGTCCAGAGAAGTCTCGTTTTCTTTGAACGGTTTAATTGCTTTCCCGGAACGCAGGTACGACACACACGTTTACAGATACGGCGCAGATGAAGAAAAGCGCCCGCGGCTAGTCGGCGAATCGATAAGCCGCTCACACACACATATGCCCGATCGCACACAATCACGCTCTTGGTCGCTACAATACATTTACTGGTTGATTTCCTGTTGTCATCCGTCATGGTGGAATGTGTTGGTGTGCCTTGCCCCTGACCATTTGCCCTAATATTGTGATTCGAACGTCGTCGGGGTAAAGAATTGCGTGAATTTAAACGTAGTTCAATTTCCTCACCATGTGTCATTTCATGTTATTCTGATCCATCTGGAGGGCATTTATCGTGTTGGTTAAAGTTTGAAGTGGAACTGGTCGTGGGATTAGCTGCGGCTATGGTTTGCGTTTGGATTGCTTTCATGATGTAATCAGCTACCTCTGAAGTTCCATCCAGATCTTTGTCCCACATGGTTGCGATGATGGCTTGAACATTAAGCAGGAGACGACTTGACGAAATGGTTCGCAGTAAATTGTCCGAACAGGCCGCGTAGATGACGCAGAAATTGCGTGGATTTCCTATCCCCCAAATCTCCTAGCTCGAGGAGTTGTATCATTCGTATTTCTTGGGAAATGCCCAGCCGACAAATAAGTACTTTCGTGATGGTGGCATATGGTTCAGTTGCCGGAGGGTTGACAATCATATCGCGTACTTGCGCCGCATAGCAAGAGTCTGGGTTGCCTAGCACATACCCAGACTTCGGATATAATTCCGTAGGCCTCAAAACTGCGGTCAACCATACAAAAGCAAAGTTCGGGGTCGAATGGCACGAAGGGTGTCAATTTGACGGCCAGTCGTTCAAGGAACATAGTGAAACATTTTCACATAAAACGCATAGCAAAAAAACAGGAGAAACCCCCATTTTTTACAGTTTTTTGCAAAAAAGGAAAACATATTTCCCATCAAAATTTTTGTTGACCAAACTCAGATTTATGTTCTCCAGCTCCAGATACTATATAGTACCAAAAGTCACAACTATTCCAAAATCTCCTTTTTTAAAACACAAACTGCTTGGACTATGTACCTATGCATTATTAAAATCTATTTTAGAATGCAAATATGGTAGTATTCAGTTGATTTGTAGTAGGTTATCACATTATTAACCATTTAAATTTTCTAGATTTATAATAGATATTTACTATGTAATAAAACACTAATTGTAAAACAAATCTATTTACAAATGTTTATTAAATCAAAACTTGAGAAACACACACCAGTGTAGATAATTAAAAAAAAAGACCGTTTTCTCATTGCTATTTCTTATTTTAGCTTGGGATATAGTTTCAATAAAGATAATCCTTCAGTAAATAAAATTACTTCTTGCAGTACTTCATGTTTAGCTTCCATTTGTGCATCAAGTTCCCATCAAGAATTGGATCATTTAAGTTGCTCACCAAAATCACAAACGGAAGGAGAATTGTCGAGTGATGATGATACAAAGGTATATATATCTGTAGTTAAAATTAACTGTTTAAGGTGGTTCCTATGGTTAAGAAAATGATTTACGAATGTTATAAGAATTGGAGGAGTATTTCTTCATGATGGCCCTAGTATGTCTAAATTTTTCAAATTTTTTGGCCGTCTAGTTTTTAAAATATAATTGTTCAAAGTTGGAGACAGTAACATGCGTTCTTATGGGATCATTGCAAATTTGATATTTTTCCCTAAATAACTTTTGAATGTGGGGTGGCTTACCATTAAAATACCTGTTTTTCCTTTTGTACTACATATTCTTCAACACAACTATTGGTAAATTAGTTTATGCTGAAAAACTTTAATGATAAACGATCAACAATAAATATAAACGAATAAACCATTTGGTAGGAGACAAGAGTCACTGAGGGAGATTAAGTTAAACGGTCGTACCTTCACTCTTCATTAACTTATGGGAGAAAAACTATCCGCTACACGGGGATTCAATGCGCTTTGCGAGAAGAGATTTCGGTACAGGGTTTCAATCGTCAACCCAACGCAGTCTGTATACCCGACCATTCCCGAACCATATGAACCACTGAACCTACTTCACGCCCGCTTCGCTTACCTCACTTAATTTCCCTCTCGGACTTCACTTCATCTCCCTTTCCTCATTTACCTTTCTCTTTGTAGGACCTCATTGGCCGCTTTTCCGTGTAGCGGTTTCGCGTTTTGAAAAGTCGATTCGGTATATCTCGGAACCATAAGAAGTGCAATTGCGTACGATAGTTCCGCGTTTTGAAAGTTACACAGACTCAATTCTGGAAAAATAAAAAATATAATTTTGGAAATTACGAACAATATGTGACAATATAAAACTTGGCATGTGTCTAGAGACAATTATAATGAACACACGGAAAAAAAATGTCAATATCCACCGTCTAGTTTTCATGTAAAAACTCTTTTATTAATAGAAAGTTGTATGCTACGTTAACATTCAGTAGATGTGGCAACGTCTTAAGACTCAATCACAGCAAGCAGGCGTCGCGCATATACCTATACGCGAGCTGTATAAAATCGAAAGATAATGATGTATTTACCTATGTATAAATAAATATAAACAATATCATAGTTTATTATAATGTTTATATTTTGTCGTTTTCAAAATGTTTCGTCTGTTTGCTCAGTGCGGCGTTTCCTCGTTTCTGATACTCATTGTCTCTCACACAAATCGCTCCTTCTCGTTTTTACCATAGGAACCACCTTATTGTAAACTGTATGATATGCATTTCAATCTTGCTATAAAAATGGTAATATTAATATTCTTATCGATAAGGTAAGTAATCTAGCTAATAAACAACATGAAATTTTAATTATCCACTTCGAAGACATTTTTTTACTGTTTTATCTGAAACAATCATACAAAATTTTCATGATTTTCGTGATTAACTTCATATCACTTTTACATATAGTCTTAAGGAAAAAGAAAGAGAAAGAGAATTAATTGCCAGCAAGGGGGCACTACACATGCCCGTAATTATTTATTTTATTTATTTATCGTTTATTAGTATTGCAATTATTTATTTACACGATAGCACTAACTAAGCACTTAAACTACTTATTTATATCAAACTGTATTCATAAAATCTTATTTATTCGTCACTGTATTTAAATCACAGGGTTTTCGCTCTCGTAATTCGCACTATTCATTTATATTGCAGATCAGATGTTCATATACTAACTGACTATCGTCCAGAAACCTATTTATATTGTCATTGAATTCTCTGAAAGTCTTGTGTTTTTCAGCATTTTCATGATTTTCCCCACCCAAGTGCCAGCAGGTCAATGCTACGTGATATTAACGGTATGTTTTCAATTAATTAATTATTTGATTTTTATATTTTTCGACAATTATGATTGTTTAAACTGATAAGAGTTTGAATGTGAGCTGTATGTTTAGGCTATGTATCTTACCAATACGAAAATTCGCCTTGAATACACATACCTACATCTGTTCTGTGCAGGAAATTTTGTGAAATTCCCAGGACAAATCTATTGCTATGACACATTTGTATATTGTATGAAAATAATATGGTTCAGTCAAACGCCAGTTGTCTTCTCATAAACACTTTACGTAATATGGAATATACGTTTAGTGAAAAATCGTTTGCAGAATTTTTAATAATAAATTAAAAAGAGCGCGCACATTTGGTCCTTCGAGCGGAATTTTGCAAGTAGTGGTAAAATCTAACGGAAAAAACAAAGGCATTATCGATTTGTAGAGATAATACTAACCGTTAGTGCGACAGGATGAACGATTCTTGCTATTGTTTCTCTTTAAAACCGTAAGAGACGAAAAGGAAATGTTGTTTCGCCATTAATCAAAAACGAAACTCCCTAAACAATATAGACATCTGCTTCCTGGTAAAGGTCTGGAATAAGATCAGAGCTTTCCTTTCTTTGCATTTGCTCATATATTTGTTGTAGTTGTTTCTTTGTTATTATCATAAATACCGTATTAAGATTTTTACTTTGGGTATCTTAGAAGTTAATCTTTAAACAAAAACTAATTAAGTCAAAATTAGACGCAATTGAAAAAATTGCAACAATTTTAAACCTTATTTTAAATTTGGACTCGAACTAGTTCTTGTGGGCGTAAATTGGTCAATTTGTTAGTGAAATATTGTTAATTGTTTATCCCAACAGACATGGATAGTTATTGTCGTAACTTTTTTTTCAGTAAACATTTTTAGGTACACATAGGTTCAATCTCTTTGTAAAGGTGAAGTTCTTCATATCCCGTTAGGGGCAAATTGAAAAACTAATTTTTATCCCCTTATTTATTGGTGTAAACATGGGGGTCATTTTTATTTATAAACAACTAGCGACCCGCCCCAGCTTCGCAAGGGTGCAATGCTTTTACTTAATAGACTCCTGAATGTCTTTATATACAACATTCACAGCTTTTTTGTCATTAGTTAATACAAACCAGCCCCCCCGGCCGGTACCGCCGCAACCGCCTGTCCCTGCATTTTAAATCTGTAATATTTTCGAAAATATTAATTTAAATTACATGCTGTAAAGAGCCATATTGATCTATATTAAATGTACAATGTATTTAAAAATACTTAATTGGATAAGGATTAATGCTGTATTGCTTAAAATCGCTTCATAAATAAGCCATTATTTCTCATAAAAAGTAAAGGATAAAAATGGTTAATGTGGGTTATCTCTAAGTGATGGACATATACCATCGCGGACTTTTTTGTAGACCCTTTTAAGATGTACAATATGTAGTACATTATTTTGATCTATTTCGTAGGGTTCAGCCAGCGTTTGGAATGTAAGCGCAAAAAATGTGTTTATTTACGACATCACATTAGAAACCTCTAAAATTATCAGTGTTTCTCTACTATATTATGCATGTATTATACATATAAACCTTCCTCTTGAATCACTCCATCTTTTAAAAAAAACCGCATCAAAATCCGTTGCGTAGTTTTAATGATTTAAGCATACATAGGGACAGACAGCGGGAAAGCGAC